TATAACTATGTGATGTCATGACATTTTTTTTGCTATTTTGTAGGCTAACCCTGACAAACTACCTATTATTCAGTTAAAGGATTATCAAAGTTTGGAACTTTTGTTGGAAGTAAGAAAGTGGATGGTGATATCTTGTTACAAGATGGGACTACAGTTCTTTTTGGCTCACCTAAATCAGGTTTCATGTAAGGTTTTTTAAAAGTGTCATTTTTTATTATCACTAAATTGAAACCCCAATGAAATACTACACACTTGATAACCTGAACATTTCAGTGCTTGGACCCAAAAAGACTTGTTGGCTCCTAAAGGGACAGTCTGCTAATTAATGTTGCTCAACCAAGTTTTGATAAATTTCATGCCTTTCCTTTTTTTTTTCAGGGTGGTGTATGAACCATTTATAATTACCACATCCTGTTTAGATAGTGATAGTAAGAAATTGACTCGCAGTATCATGAAGAATCTAGGAGCACATGTTGTTAATGAATATAGATCAGATTGTAATTTGTTAGTTATGAACTCTATCAGTGTCACTATAAAGGTAGGTAAATGTGTAATTTGTTAGTAGTTTCACCGCCATGTCATTTGACCCGACCAGATCTAACGAAGAATCAACAACCAAACCAATAACACCAAATCATCCAATTTGATCCAATCCAACTACCAACTACTACGACTACCAACAACTACCTAGTTTGCGATATCAGCATCCGCTGGAAGCGAACGTTAACTTGTCATCTACCTACCTACCTATCTAATTTGTTAGTTATGAACTCTATCAGTGTCACTATAAAGGTAAGTAAATGATTAATTTGTAAGTAATGAATTCTATCAGTGTCACTATCAGGGTAGGTAAATGATTCATCTGTAAAGAATGAATTCTATCAGTGTCACTATAAAGGTAAGTAAATGAATAATTTGTAAGTAATGAATTCTATCAGTGTCACTATAAAGTTAAGTAAATGATTAATTTGTTAGTTATGAAATCTATCAGTGTCACTATCAAGGTAAGTAAATGAATAATTTGTAAGTAATGAACTCTATCAGTGTCACTATAAAGGTAAGTAAATGATTAATTTGTTAGTAATGAATTCTATCAGTGTCACTATAAAGGTAAGTAAATGATTAATTTGTTAGTAATGAATTCTATCAGTGTCACTATAAAGGTAAGTAAATGATTAATTTGTAGGTAATGAATTCTATCAGTGTCACTATAAAGGTTAGTAAATGTTTAATTGTTAGTAATGAACTCTTATCAGTGTCATTATAAAGGTAAGTAAATGCTTAATTTGTTAGTAATTTAACGCCGTGAAAAATTAGTGCTATTAGAATTGTGGCCGTATTACAATGGCCAATTGCTATCTTTTATAGGTTGTTTGTGCTTTAATCAATCAAAATTGTATAGTTACACCTAAATATTTAGAAGATTATCAAAAACATTTACAAGGACAAGGAGAAAAGCCTGATCCACAAAAGTAAGTATTTATAAGATATGACTTTTACCAGTTTTTTTTTTGCTGTGTGTCAATAAGAATGATGTTTAAATTATAATTTTTATATTCTTAGACAGATATTTTAAGCTTGTTATATGTGCATTTGAAGTGGGTAGTTAGGTAAATAATATAAATACATACATGTATGGAAGAGTAATTTTTAGTCAACTAGATATCAGCAAGTCAAATCTGAGGGTCATCAAAGGATTACAACATTTTCTTGGTTATTCTTATTGCAGCTATTTACCAACAGTTATTGAGTCACAAGTTGATTCAGAAAAAGTCTCATTTCTACCAAATAATAAACGCAGAAATGTTTTCACAAAGATGAAATTCATTTTCTTTAGTCCTAAACAGGTAACCATTTTATGAACACATCTCAGTGTCTCTGTAACTATTCAGAAACCTTCAAATTTGGTTATATTTCTTAAAATTTATCAAGCAAGCAGTCTTTGCCCACATCTTTCTATGTGGATGCATATTGTTGAATAGCTGTGCACATTTACCCTTAAAGGTTCTGGAATTAACAGTTTTCAACCAGTGTGCTTAGATATGTATAAATTTAAGTGTATTACCTTTCAGAATGGACATGAAATTTAAGTCTCAAACTTGGTCAAGTGTATATATTTGTCAGTTGCCAAGTGCCATATAAATAATCTCTGTATGAGATGATATATCCATTAAACTAAACAATTGTTGAAACACACTTCTAAGTATGTTTCAAAATTACTTAGTTTAATGAATTATTACTTAGTTTTATGAATTATTACTTAGTTTAATGAATTATTACTTAGTTTAATGAATTATTACTTAGTTTAATGAATTATTACTTTGTTTTATGGATTGATTGTATTATAAAGGAATTTTGTTGTATAGTCCACAGACCTATTTTGACCAAGTTTAAAAACTAAACTTTTTGGTCATCCCAACAGGAAGTATACCTTTATAATGAAACTTAAGATTGAAATTGAGGGCTGTGCTATCATTTGATATTCAATTATTTAAATGAAATTAGAATTTGAGGTATTTTGTATTTGAGGCAAAGTTTGAGATTAAATAGTTTGTCCATTAAGAGGTATTACTAAAGTAGTCTAATAAAGTGCGAGAAAATTAATTAAATGAATTAAATTTCAGTTTAAGAAGATGAAGTTAGCTGTAGAATTATCTGATGGAATACCTCTATTGTTAGAAGATGGATTAAAAGAGAATGATAAATCTATTTTATATGAACCAGGAACTGTAGTTATGACACCAAGTGAAGCTGTTAATACTCTACCAGTAACAACACAGAAATTTTATCATCAAGTTTCTCAAATTCTCACCAAGTAGGTAACTTTTACTTTTACACTTTTATTTGCTATGACTTTAATTTTGATGTCATCATTACCAGTGACCTTATTCTCACAAACTTAACTAAAAAAACAGTAATGTTATTGGTTTATTGATGGATTTTAAGATCTATTTGATTGGTTGTCTCATCAGATGAAAAAGGTTTTGTACGCCTGCAAGCAGCCCATTCTGTCTTAGACAAATAATCTCTCCAGAAGTAGGTAACTTCTTATCAAATTTATGCATTCCAATGCTGAAATCCATAACCTCTACTTGTGACCTAGGCCAGTGCTTCTATAACAGAGTATCTCATAAATTCTTATACAAACCATTAAAGCCAATTTTTAAGGATGGGCAACATATGATATATTATGTTATTAATAGGAAAGCAAAGACTATGATTGGTGATAGTGAAGTTGGTTATGCTGTATTATATTGTTCAACAGAAAAACATTGTAATCCAGATATACCACAACCTTGTAAGTTACTACACAATCTTTATTCCTAATGGTCTTAAAGGCCTGGTATATCAGTGTCTCATAAATAAAAGGTCTGAAAGGAAGTATCTCAGCTGTTGATAAACTGATCTTTCAAAATTCTCATTCTTCAAGACATCGTTGTCCCACCTTGAAAATATGAAAGTCATCCAATAAAAATTGTATAAGTACTACCCTGAACAAAATAACATGTCGAAAAATACAATATTAGGACAACTTGCTTATTTCAACTTGTGTCAATGTGCCCTCCATCTTTTTCGACCACCAATTGCAACTGTTTTCCATCACGAGATGCGATCAAGACAATCAGTTGACATGGGTTTTTATGATATTTAATATCTGGAGTGACTCCAGTTGAAATGTGTAATAGACCTATTGACTGATGACGTCACATTTCAATAAACGAACTTCGCGCTATGAACTATGGGATTGAATTGGGGTCAAGGTATTACAAAATGGCCGAACGAATACTGATAGAAACTCCACTTCATTCCCAGCATGCACAGCTGGCTAAACGCGTGACGTCATCATGCTACACAGTTATTAGACTACAGGTAATGCTTCTGTCATGGCAACATCCGCCTCATATCACAATTCGTATTTTGTTTTTATTAACCCAAGTATAATGTGTACTTCCTTTCATTTTATATACAGCTCAGATAATACCAGATATTAAATCTCAGTCTTTAAGTACTGATATTACTATTGACACTAATGATATACTAGCTTATAATACTGAGATCTCAAAACAAGGGTATGTAGCTTTCATACATCTTCATCAATTATTTATATGAGAAATACTTGCTGCATATTTCCATGATCAGTGTGCTGCCAATAGATCCTATTATTAAAGCTGCCAGTCTGGCAAGCTATCTTGTCTTATTGAATGAGATGAAGTCACTGATCACTAGGGACTCTTTAAGATTTTTTACAGAACCATCTAATGTTAAAGGGATATTTGAAATCTATGATTATTATATTTTGCAGTAAAAAAGAAAAAAAGAATATTGTTGATGATGGTGGTATTCAAGTTATAGATGAAACATTTATATCTAAAAAGGTATTGTTATAAAAATTGGTGTATGATTCATTATATCTATTCTCTATAGAACATGTATGTCTTTTGAAAGATTAAATTAAAAGATCTCATCAAGATGAATACACAGATGGACTTTCTGTCACTCTCTCCACTCCCATGTTGACATATTGTGACTTTGTCAACGGCAATCTTTCTAAACTTCTCATGTAAAATTGTATCATCAGAGTTCAATTTGGTTCAATTTGTTATTACCAAAGAAGAAAATTGTGTATCATTACAGGGATTGTAAAGAGGTTTTCTAGATTTTTTATGCTTATTGGAATGACTCATATTCATTGTCCCAGATATGCATACAAAATTTAGAAAATCAATTTATTAGTATTGTTCTTATTATACAGGAAACTGAACGCAAAAGTTTTAGAACACCAAAAAATAGGTAAATGCAAAACTAGTTTTTTAGATAGCATGTATACCATTTCTGTATGTAATACTTCCTTCGATACCTCTCTTGATTATCGTGTTTACAGGCTCAATGTTGTGAATTTCAGTTCGATATTAGGGTTTTCTACTACTTTTGAAAGTCATTAAAATGGAGACAAAGTGTTTTGCGACCTTCACCTTGACACTATCCTAAAATAATAGGAACTTAAATTGTAGATCTTCTCTGTTGACAATGTTCTAAGTAGCTTGGAATAGGAATATTAAAATGTATTAACACAACCTTTTTGACCACCTTACTTATAAAGTTGTGAATATTATCAGAACAGTCTCAACTTTTGCGCACAAATTTCGGATTCTCAAGTAAGTCATAAACACTATTTTCTCAGCAGGTTTCGAATGCAGCGTATTTCTGTACGTTTGCATATTCAAGAGAACTATTGTTGTCATTATTATTTAAGACAGAAATAATAAACTTGACTTAAATGTCGGTCTTTTACAACATGATTTAGCTAAAAAATAACTATCTTTTCATTTTATTGTTACAAATTCACATTGAAATTTGACAAAGAATTTAGACCCACTGAATTGACTGTATTTTTATATCATTTAAGAACTAACAATGCAACCAGTACAGAACCAACATCACGAGATATTAAAAACATCAAGAAAGAACCATTAACGCCTGTAAACACATCCAGTCAAAATAAATCCAAAGCCATTCCTTCTAAAGACGTCAAATTGGAACCGCCGTCAGCGACCAAAAGACATAGGTCTCCAAGTCCACATCACATTACGAACATAGATACACCAGCTGGAGATGTCAGTATATATATTGATACCCCTTCAGAGATAATTTCACCTCAAGATAACAGAAGTGGAAAGAGAAAAAGAACATCACCCTCGCCAGTGGCAGAAACCACCAGAGCTAGCAGACGGAACAAATCACCTTCACCTGTACCAGACACAGAAAGATCTTGTATCTCTAGTGTAAGAGGAAACAAGAGAACAAGGTAAACAAGTACTTTTGACAAATTAATAAAATTTCAGGAGAAAATAAGCATGGTTTAAATCACCATGAAATTTCCTCAGATGCTCTGCAAAATATCACTATGTCTTATGGTAGCCATTTTTAACCCGAACTGTGCTGTAAGGTCATTTGATTTTACGGCATTGTAAACCGGTCATTTGGCAATAATCAAAGCAAAATATAAATACTTTAACCTCGTAAGATATTGATTCGAAATGATACTTGGTTAACCATAAGCAATAGTCACAGTAGAGCATTAAATGTCAGAATTCACTCCCAATGGCTCCACATGTATCTTCGGACTTTGCAGCAAACTTTTCAGAAGAAACTCATTACCAAGGTACATCTGACTTTGAGGAAACTACAGATGTTTGCTGAATGAAATTTGATTTCAAATGGTAATTTCAGGTCCCCATCCCCAGCAGAAGATGAAGGTAGACCTAGCAAAAGAACTAGGTCTCCATCTCCAGTGAAACTAAATACCAAACAGAAGAAAACTGATGTTAAAGAAGAGGAAATAACCATCATTGGAGAAGCAGATCAAGAATCTGAAAGGGTTTGTAACATTTCAGTCTCAAACTAACTGACTATTTGGTTCATGAGTATATTACAATATTGAGCATTAATATATCATGATGGGAATATATAGCAATAACATATATTTTTTACTTATTTCAAAACCAATTGTTGTTGTTTTTTCTATCTAAAATTTTAGATGTTACAAAAAACAAAAATTTCTCTAGAAAAATCCCTAGTCTTTAAGTTACTTGTTAAAATTGTGTAGATGTCTACCATATATCAGATTGTGGGGATATTTTGGTATATTTTATTCTGGCAGTATTACTAACAATATAAATTCTTATACCAGTATTTAATGTAATACCAGCCCTTCCTAGCTTATAAGTATTGTCTTGATTCGTATCAGGCCTTGCATTAAATTAATTAAAAGAAAAATATAGTTGAGGTAAAAGAAACTGAAAATAACAAAAAGAAAAATACTTCACCATCAAATGGCATATTTCCAATTTATATTTATGCAAAAAAGTATTATTCATATGTAATTGAATTGAATTAGTTGCAGGATGGTTCCAAAGAAATCAGACTTGCAGATGGATTTTTAACCAGCAGGAAGCCATTAAAGGTAAGAAATCTTTGTTCATGTCTTGTTACTTCTAGAATCAGACAGTGGAGAATATAGAATATATAACTTGTTAATTGTAGAATCAAACTGTAAAGAAAGAAGAATATATTAATTATCTTCTAGAATCAGAGAGAATATATATCTTGTTTAATTGTAGAATCAGACATTGAAGAATAAAAATGTACTTGTTACTTGTAGAATCAGACAGTGAAGAATGAAGAATGTTTATTTTGTTACTTTTAGAATCAGACAGTGAAGAAAGAAAAATAAATATCTTGTTACTTATAGAATCAGACAGTGAAGAATGAAGAATATAGATACATGTATTATTAATTGTAGAATCAGACAGTGAAGAATGAAGAATATTTATACATGTATTATTAACTGTAGAATCAGACATTGAAGAATGAAGTGTATATATATACAGATGTATTATTAATCGTAGAATCAGACAGTGAAGAATGAAGTGTATATATATACATGTATTATTAATTGTAGAATCAGACATTGAAGAATGAAGAATATATATACATATATTATTAATTGTAGAATCAGACAGTGAAGAATGAAGAATATATATACATGTATTATTAATTGTAGAATCGGACAGTGAAGAATAAATATACATGTATTATTAATTGTAGAATCAGACATTGAAGAATGAAGAATATACATGTTTTATTAATTGTAGAATCAGACAGAATGAAGAATATATGTACATGTATTATTAATTGTAGAATCAGACATTGAAGAATGAAGAATATATATACATGTATTATTAATTGTAGAATCAGACATTGAAGAATATACATGTTTTATTAATTGTAGAATCAGACAGTGAAGAATGAAGAATATATGTACATGTATTATTAATTGTAGAATCAGACAGTGAAGAATGAAGAATATATGTACATGTATTATTAATTGTAGAATCAGACAGTGAAGAATGAAGAATATATGTACATGTTTTATTAATTGTAGAATCAGACATTGAAGAATGAAGAATAGACATGTATTATTAATTGTAGAATCGGACAGTGAAGAATATACATGTTTTATTAATTGTAGAATCAGACAGTGAAGAATGAAGAATACATGTTCATGTATTATTAATTGTAGAATCAGACAGTGAAGAATGAAGAATATATGTACATGTATTATTAATTGTAGAATCAGACATTGAAGAATGAAGAATATACATGTATTATTAATTGTAGAATCGGACAGTGAAGAATATACATGTATTATTAATTGTAGAATCAGACAGTGAAGAATGAAGAATATGTTTATGAACCTGAATTACCCGAGAGGTTAATAGTAACCTCTTTTACAGATTTGATTAAACGTAAGCCAACTAATAGAGCTAGTGCTACTAGAGGAGAAGCAATACCTGATGGGTTTGTAAGATGGAAGGGACAGTTAGTTAAAAACTTCAAGAAATTTAAGAAGGTATGAAGCTTGGAAGGTTTAAATACAATATTCTATCCATATAGTTCTCATCATTTTTGCAATAATATTCTATTTTCTATAAAGGAGAATCAATATGAAATCGAACTAGAGCTACATCAATAGTCTTTTTCACTTTACAGCCTCGTCCCTGGACTGTATGGAAGGCAGAATGGCTTTTTATTCAATGTTCTTCATTGCTATTTCTTAATTCTAAATTCTTATCTCATAATTTGCACGCTTAATTCAACATTTGTTATTGAAAATTGACATTTGGATACAAAAATCATAATTTGCACTGAAAATGAACATTCTTTGATATATATATTCGGTTTTCCAATTATTGAAGTAATAGAATCTTTGCCAAAATATCCTCAAATACAAATCTACAAATACAAGTCCCTTGAATTTACAACAGTTGCTCTCATACTGCAACATACGTGACCATATTCACTTTTCTAATGAAACCCATGGGCTTGGTGCACTTCATTTTTATTGCGTTAATGGAGATGTTACTACGCTTGTCTAATCATTCACAATTCCATGGCGATCTCAATGACAAGTAATGGCGCCCATCATAAGGTATTTGACACTTCCTTCATGCTTATGGCAACCTAAACATGAGCTAATTATTGTTGCCATGGCAGCTCAGTTAGGACACCTTTCTTGTGTGACAGGGCTTTTAAGTTTTATGTGGACACAAAACACCAAAGATTCATTTTGAAGGTTGTTAAACTTAATGGCCATCAACATACCCAAATAATAAATAACAAATTCTCATAGATATACATTTTGAAATGACAGTTATTATAAATATTTATGTGTGTTATTTTATTATTAATTCTAGGTGGCCAATGCTGGCTCCCATACATTACCTAACATAATAGGTGGCAGTGATCTACAAGTACATGTGGCTGAAAAATCAAAAGAAATAGAAGACTGGTTTCAGCAATCAAGAAGGGTAATTATCTTTTAGCTCTAAATAGTTAGGGTTTGAACATGGTATAGGTCAGGATAATTCCATCGGTCATGTTTCCCCTTGCCACTGATGAAGATTAAAGTCATTCATTGATCAAGTCATTCAAATAGAGCAAAGACTGAGGCCCCTGTGTCTCTCCGGCAGTGCATGTGCATGATTCTTTAAGTGAAAATGTTTCTTGTTTTGTTTCCACCAGCCTAGTGGGTACACCCGACATTTTGTTTTGGAATTTTTTTTTGGACTTATAAAATCTATAAGGATTATTCTAGTGTATGTTTTACATATTTCAGGCTGAAAGTCAGTTAAATGAGGAAGAAAAACAAATACAAGAATTATTTGAGTAAGATATTGTCATAATAATTATATTATTTTTTTCTTGTGGAAGTTTTAAGTATTATAACCTAAAAACAAGAAATAGGGCGGAATACTAGAATTAACATAAAATTTAGTGTTAGCACTGAGCATATATAATTAACATACCCTACAATTTGACATCATTATAGCTTAAATTATCATATACCTCTCTGTTTTGTTATCATCTAGAATTAGATATGACTTTCACTTTTCACTTTTGGATTTAAGCCTTATATGAATTTATTGTTTAAAATGTATCTGTGTTATTTATTTTCAGTATTAGACCAAGTCATACAAGTAAAGTGAGATAAGAAACAACACAATTCAGTGCCAATTCCAGTACCTGTACCTTCAAAAAATATTGATCAATTTATGTTTTGTGTATCATTTATTTACTACCTGTGATATAATATCCATTATGTTTAGAATATTCAAATTGTCAGTTTTACACCAAAAAAAAATAAGAGGGTATGGGGTTGATATTTGCCCTGTAATCTGAAGGACCAAGGTTCAATCATGTTACAGACATTAAAAGATCCATTTAATTTCCACTTTATCTAAACAGTAGAAGTGATTCAACCACCTGTTTTTGAAACAAAAAAAACAAAAAAATTGAAAACAATCTAATTCCATTTACATATTTGCTTTTATCAGTTGAGTGATAGGCTTATTTTAGGTCATTCATCAGAATGCTAACTGGGCTTTGGGTTTGTCTGCGATATATTATTAACAATCATAGAAGCTGCTTTGTGTATTACCTACAGAAAGACATAATTATTGTTACAGAATGGGTATTAATAATGACTTTTACTCCACAGTCATGCTTCCAAATTTTATTCTGAATTACTGAATTGTTGGTGACATGAAGATGTAAAAGAAAGTTGATCACTGACTTTAATGTGAACAAAATGGTTAATTTAAAGGAGTCATTTTCTCACAGCAATTCATGTTTTGTTGATTTTGTTTTCTAGATAGATGAAGAGTTGATTGTTATATATTGTTAAAACAGAGGTCTTTATTGTTTACTTTATATAAAATCACAATTCATGTCCCACTATCTCTATCTAGATTTTGCCAGTTTCACACGTTCCTTCAGCACTTTAAATTTAGGATTTTTTGTCAGTTTTTTCATAAATTTGGCACTAAGTTCATCTTCTGATTCCAAACAACCACCTTGAGATGCATACTCAGCTAGAACCTGAAAATGTATAGAGGCAGTTTAATGGATATGAATATGACCGTGATTGGTTACTATGATACCACTTCTTCTTGGAAGCTAGATATATGTTAAAACAGGAATCCACTAATTTACATTTTCATGAAGGACAAATCCAAGTGTCGCTTTATGCCCAAAGAGCAGCAAAATTTTTCCATTTCAGCCCCTCCAAACTGCATCTCTCAAAGAGGGAAACTGAATTGAGAAGTCAAAAGGTATCATTGAGACCTTATGTAACCCTGGACCTCCAGGTTGTGACATGAAAAAATAGGACATAAACCAAAGCCATGAAAGGTACAGGTCGTGCATGTTAAAGATCTCTCGACTGTTGGAAATTAAAAAAAATGGTGCGGCAGGACAAAATTTGCTGCATAACACACTGAGTTACTGCATTGAGTTACCCATCTTTATATCAAGTTTAGATGCAAAAGAAAAGGATGTAAAACTAAGACAATACAGTTTTATGTTCATGTTTTAAAAGCAACATTTTTCAAATTGAGATTAGGGTGATTGAAGAGTAACAAGTTACTATTCAATGTAAGACACTGGCACAGGGTTAAATAGAGTAAGCCTCACTTTCTTGCGTAATTTCTTTAATGGTATTTCTTCTCCTTTTGTATTTAATACTTCTTCAATGACTTTTTCCCAGCTGAATTTGATTTTACGTTTTTTAACAACTTTTTCTTCTTCTGATTCTTCACTTTCATCTTTCAAAAAAAGAGTGGTGACAATTATTTATAAAGTTTCATGCACAGAGCGTCGCTACTGCTTTCCAAATTAGACCAAACTTTCGTTCTGTATTTTTATGAGCTTTTATTTTAATATAATCACTTCATTTAGGGTCTACCAACAGCCCTCTTGAACATTCATCAAATTAACCTTTTGACTTAATTTGTCTGCTTTAACCAATCAAATTTCTCCCCTCTCCAGTACTGGCATTTAGTGACACAATGTTTATCAGGTTAGGTTAATTTGATGAATGTTCAAGAGGGCTGTCGTTAGACCGGAACTTAGTGGCTATGTTACAAATTTAAGCTAATAAAAAACGGCACGAAAATTTCATTTAAGTTTAAATAATTAATTTTAATTAGACTGTAATTTAGGCATTCACAATCATAGTTCAACAAAGTTTAAAACTATGAAATAGAAGTCATTGGAGTTTAAATAAATTGTAATGTTATGGTTTGGTAAATCTTTTTTTGTATTTAGGTCCACAAGAATATGCAGATATACACTTCCACAGATATAATGCAAAGAACAATATGAACATTGAGGTTTACCCCGTTCTTTAAAACACTATTATGAAAAATATACTGGAGGATGTCTAATACCTTGAAATATAACACTGGAATATATACCTTCTTATTTAATTGTAGACATACCAGTCATCAATTTTCATTCTTAAAAGTGTTCGGAATAATTGGGAGACTATTCCTTGGCTGGATAGATGGATGGGTTTTATGTGTTATAACTATAACTTATAGATATTTTGACAATCTATTTCTATTTCTAACAAAATAAATTATGTGAACTAACCTAATCTTTTTCTTTTATTTTCAACTTCTCCATCTTCTTCATTTTCTTCCTCTATTTCACTATCATCATTTTTCTTCTTTCTTTTTTTCTTTTTTTTCTTACTAGTATCTTCTTCTGTAGCTTCACTGTGTTTAGTTCTGTCTTTCTTTTCCTTTTTATCATTTAATAACCTCCGTTGTTCTTTCTTCTCACGTTTACTAAGTTTCTGAATGTTTTCATCTGTTTCTTTGCTATCTTTTTCTGGTGGTTCACAGTCTTCTGTGGTTGTTTTATTTTGACCGTTTGTGCTGCCATTTTCTGAAGCTCCATTCTAAAAAGAAAAGAGATTAAAGCTAGTACAGTGGAGCCCTGTTTAACCACATATTTCTGTTCCTGATAAAATCGTGGGGTTAGACATATATTTTGTAATGAAAAATATAATGGCTACCTAAGATTCAGTCCAAAACCAATAACTTTTGTGTACAGTATTTAAAACTCGAGCAGAAAATGTTGTTTATTACAACTCATAGGAAATAAGGAGGTACAGATTTTTTTTAAAACAATATGTGTATTGAAAGCATTTCAAAAGTATTGTAAGGTGAGGATGAAAGCATATCTAGGAATTTACCCTTAATTTCACATTATTATGCGCTCACTCAACAGATTATGACTGATTTTTTGTTTGAGCTCATAAACTTACAGAAGAACTGGTTGAAGATGATATAATACTCCAAATTTCACTGATACACTTATTGTCACGTACACCAAAACTTGATCTCATAAAATTCTACAATAATAAAACACAATGATAAAATTCTACATTAATAAAACACAATGATGAAATTCTACTATAATAAAACACAATGACGAAATTATACAATAATAAAAGACAATGATAAAATTCTACAATAATAAAACACAATGATGAAATTCTACAATAATAAAACACAATGATGAAATTCTACAATAATAAAACACAATGATGAAATTCTACAATAATAAAACACAATCATGAAATTCTACAATAATAAAACACAATGATAAAATTCTACAATAATAAAACACAATGATGAAATTCTGCAATAATAAAACAATGATGAAATTCTACAATGATGAAATTCTTTAATAATAAAACACAATGATAAAATTCTACAATAATAAAACACAATGATGAAATTCTACAATAATTAAACACAATGATGAAATTCTATCATAATAAAACACAATCATGAAATTCTACAATAATAAAACACAATCATGAAATTCTACAATAATAAAACACAATGATAAAATTCTACAATAATTAAACACAATGATGAAATTCTACAATAATAAAACACAATGATGAAATTCTGCAATAATAAAACACAATCATGAAATTCTACAATAATAAAACACAATGATGAAATTCTTCAATAATAAAACACAATGATAAAATTCTACAATAATAAAACACAATGATGAAATTTTACAATAATTAAACACAATGATGAAATTCTATCATAATAAAACACAATCATGAAATTCTACAATAATAAAACACAATCATGAAATTCTACAATAATAAAACACAATCATGAAATTCTACAATAAGAAAACACAATCATGAAATTCTACAATTATAAAACACCATATCATGAAAAAAGAAAATGTTGAAGAATGGCAATTCCTTTAAATACCGGTACACTTTAATGTGCATGTAAAATCTCTATAATATAATGATCATACTTGCCTCAAATTTCTTCTGTTTTCTGGGAATGTTAGGATGTTCTATTAATCTGGTCAAGAGATCTTTCATTTTAAAATTATTCTTGTGTTTTTCTACAGCATCAGCTATGGACTAAAAGTTAGAAGATGAATCTATACAGTACAAACTATTTCAGCAATTTTGTCACAACATAGTTAAATGAACCAATGAAACGTGTCAAGAGAAAGCATGGAAAAACTTGACAAAGAAGAGAGTTCAGTATGAAAAGACATAAAAATTAGTTGAAAATGATAGATTTGAAAGCGTTTAAAAGAAAAATACGGAACCAGCAAGACAAGCATGGATGCCAACAAACTAGAGGAATGAAAAGAGACATAGACATATGGAAATGGGGCAAACAAGATGAAAATATTATCGATATCATTTATGACTGATTTTTTTTTTTTTTATTTATACATAAATTACAAATAATACATTACTTTGTTACCATTTAATACAGTTTTTCAAGTTAATAGTTACAGATTATACAATATCTCATTAATAGTTGTGCATATCTATTTTTTGTAATAGTCTAAATGCTCTGAAGTGAGTGGGCCGTGGGACAGTTTGCCAATGTACTTGGGAAATAGAATTAGTGTGATTGTGGTTTTGCTCATCAAGGTCTTGACTGTCGTTGTGACCCCGCGGCCGCCCTGGTCGATCGTAGACAGGGACGGAACCACCAGGAAACAAACATGACACAACTAAGATGAATTAAGTTAATCACAGTTTAAATGCATAGCAGGGGAACAGAATGAATCGGGTATGTCTGATTATTAATTAGAATCAGAAACCCTATTTCATGGCCATAATATAGTCAGAAGATGTCTATAATGTAATACTAACCATAGTATCTGCCTAAACTGACACCTTACCTTTTGCCACAATTCTTGTTTCACTTCTCCTTTATTAGGTTTAGCTACATAATTACTACCAGAATACTTCTCTTCTTCACTTATACATGTCATATGTTGTTTATAATCATCTCCCCTGAAATTACATTCTTACATATTAACTCAACTCTACAATATTTCACCAATCTTAGCTTTCATAGGAAATTTAACCACAAAACCTTTGAGATTGACAAAATGTAATTTCATCTGTACATGTCACTTTTTAGAACTAAAATCCAATGTCTGGTTCTACTGCAATTGAATCATTATCAACAGTCTGAAAGTTAAAACAAGCGGAACTGCCATAGCTGGATGTCTGATAATAAGACTGATATTACATGATGTCAATTTCATCAACTTTTAGCTCCTGATCGACATTTCCATCCAATCAGCAATGAATTGTGACAAATACTATACATATTTTGGACATGAACTTCAAAATATTAGGGTCCTAAAATAACATAACTTTACAAAATTAGGAAGGAAAAATACTTCCTTCTCAAAAATTTTAAACAAGTATTGGCAAAAAATTGTTTACTGTAAAAATAGATTTCAAATTAGCTAATTAAATGAGTGTCTATCTTATGCAATGTCATTCTAATATAGTACTTTCATTTTATTTTGAAAATGATATTATAATCTACATGAAAATAATCAGTATAATAATAAATTCCACCGACCAAAAAAAGTAAGCAATAAAAAATGTGACAACTGACAACTAAATTTAAATGAAAATCATTCTACAAACCAAAATTCTTTACTGCAATCTACACAAGATAGAACTTCACAACTCCTACATTTTGTTCTATAATGTATTTCAACTTTATTTCTTTTTAATGTTTCACCACAGGCATTACAGTTAAAAAATACCATTTTTACTGGAAAAGTTTTCAAACAGCGCTAGGGTTACCCTACAAAACAAAAATGGTTTTAAAATAAGCCAATAAGCTCTGATATAATTGTTTATTTATACAGTAGCTTTACAAGTTTTTAGAACTCATTTCAGCTATGAGGTCCAATTTTTTCAGAATGAAAATCTGCCATCAGCTGAAAATTCTCCATTGCACACAGTATGCCTTTATATGGTGCAAAAGGACTTTAAACTTTTCATAAGATATATTTTTCCAAAAAACCTGGCCTCACATGGTGAAATTCCATTTCATTTTCTGCCTTTGATTGGAAGAATGTTATAACAAACCAGACTTGTTTCAGAAAGGAGTGTGGAAATTAAGTAAATTCACAGCACACTGTCTGACTACATCCTTTTAAGAATCACATTTTGGCAATTATTTCTTGATGGACAGTTATCAAGATTCTAGGTACTAGCCTGTTTTTGAGTTGATAAAATTTCCAATGCTTAATTTTCAAACAACTTTTCATGTAATTTCGATCTCAAGTCAAATATCAAACTTTTCAGATTATTTCAAATTAATTATTGTAATGCACACTTGAATTTAACAGTAGGCCTTGTTTAAAATCTACACATGGTATATTCATTTTGAAATGTGTTTATATTACTACAACAGTGTCAGTAGACAATTTTTCAGCCAAAATTTGCCTCTTCTAGGGGTCCAAAAATAATCAATGCTACATATCCCATCAGTAAAATCATTTAGTACAAATGACAATTTTTCTCAGTTGCTTGAATTTTCACCAATCCAGGCTGTGGCAATTTACTAAGCCTCTCACAAACTGAGTAGGCTTAAGTCTAGCAACCAGACCTCTTTAATCTTTGCAAGTTTTTGGATTTGATTTTATAGAAAAATGATTAGCAAAATGCGATTCTGTAAATATTGTGTTCGGACAGGTGATTAAAGAGGCTTTTTGTAATAAAACAAAAAAATCAACCCTCAATTTTTTATGAGAATATAAATATCAGCTATAATTACTCTAAGGACTAGGCCTAGTGTAAAAGTAGTCTTTTTATAGGCCTATTTCACTCAATCCACACGTTTCACAGAGCGATAGTTAAAATTGATGTCTTTTAGATATAATAAAACGAAATTATCATTAATAAATAACTATAACTTGGACATGCCATCAAAACGTCTTCGTGCTTCGATTTATTTTACATGCCTTACAATTTTCGTTTTAAAATAACACTTTTAGGAAATTCATATAAAGGTGCAAAAATTCTAGATATATTTCACTTACTTCTAGGAACTAAAAAGTTATGAATTTGGAAACAAAATGGCCGCGCCCGTTTGCTGAAATTTTTAGGATTATATTTTTAACATATTTCTAAGGATAATTGAAGTTATTCGACATGGAAATACAATCACTCTTTCACATTAAAAGGTATTGGTGAATATCCTATTTATTAGGTCACATGTGTAATGAACTTTGAAATCTACATTTTTTATTGTCTTCGTTTTCTCTTTTAACAACAAATGGCCTATTTCTTGAATGATTGTCCGTATGAATTAAATTTTGATTTTTGATACATATAGCCTAGGTCTATTCATTCATTTGATATTATGCTGCATTGCATTGGCACATTTTCATTGATTCCTGGTACAGGGGCAGTGGTCTATATGCTGAATACGACAATGAGATAGCAAGGAAGGACACTGCATGGAGTTGCTGGAGTGCTTATCAGTTCCATAGCGTGACAATCTGACAAAAAACAATACCGGTATAACATCATTTGCAAATTTTGCTCCAGTCAATTGTCGTCATCTGCTTAAATCCAGAGAACATTAGCAAAACCAGCTTAGATTTGCTTATAGTTAATATTTCATCCGATTAAAACCATTAATCTAAACTCTGCTTATATGTTAAGGGAATTTTTCCTATTTTATGTTTGGTTACATAGGATACTTATCTGATAATTAATTTCCCTACCCATTGTGCATAATTTTGAAGTGGCAATAAACCAATAAAATAAAGATATTTTCATGTTATTTTATAATGCTTATTATTGTTAAATGATTTCCATTATTTTCAGATTCCCACGAACAAGAAGTCTGGTGAATTTAGTGTTTTACTTTCCTATTGGTGTGTTTTTAGCTGTAGTTCGTCTTTTTATATCTATGCACGTTATTGTCATCTGTCATATTTTACCTCATGGTTCAAGCATCAGAAGGTAATTACATAAATTCAAACTTATAGTATAAGTATTTTGTAAATTGGCTCTTATTTTTACTGTTGAAGTAGTGCTCAATGCATTAATTGTAGCAGGGGGATTACAAAATATTAAAACATTAAACATGATTTGTAGGGATACAAATTGAAATAGGTCAGTTGTCTGAAGATCGCACAGCATGAAATACTCTGAGTAACAACATACACCTCAGATTCTGTTTCAATGGATTTGCCCTAATTAAGCTTTTACAGAATTATTGATAAAAGTGTTCTAAATATTGAAATGAATGTATCCATGGAAGCCTCATTTCTATTTCTTGAATAGAAAACAATCCTTTCTTTTACATTTTGGTTTTTATTATAGATTTGTATTAAAAGTGATGTCTGGTGTACTAGGGTTTCTAGTAACTGTAGAAGGAGGTGACAAGCTGGAACAATGTTCAGCCAAAGTTATTGTATCGAACCATATCTCAATCATCGATTATTTTATAACAGATCTAGTATTCCCTAATCAGGCAGTGAGTATAATGAAAGTTGAAAATACAGTTTAATGTCCTCACATTTCTTGCAATTTTAAAGAGGCAGTCAAGCTACAAGCATAGAACATGGACAGAAAGTTATGATGAATTATATCCCCTATCCAATATTGAGTGGCAATGCCATAGATTGGTCCAATAAAAGCTGCAGAACTCTACTGTCCCACCACAATATTTATAGAAAAAGTCTTGACAGTCATTTTTTTATGAATTGAAATATAAATTACAAAATACTACTGAGGGTCTTAGATTGTCTTTGGGTTGATGAAAATGCTCACAAATCCAAAAATTATCATTTGTGAATATGATTTTACAGAGGAGAATTTTAATGTGTGTGATTTCCATTAAAAAAAAGTGTTTATTTCAAATGTAAAAAAAAAAAAACTTGCGTTTCTTTGGACCTGAAGACAAATAGCATGCAATAGAAAATTTATTTTAAATATTTGTGAACAGAAAAAAGTCAATTCGTGAACTCACAGAGGTCAGAGTGTAAGTTTGACTCCATTTATTTCAGCCTTTGGAAAACTTACCTTCGATTTTCATACAACTGATTTCAAAGTTTAAAAAATTGCCATCTAATGTAAATAAAGACCAGCTGCTCAACGAAGTGAAGTCTATTTGTCAAGGTAAGATTATTTAGCTCTCTTTTCATTAGATCGAAATACTTTTTAACAAAGTGGCAATATCTGACATTGAAATACCATTTTAAGAAAAATGTCAAAAAATAAAAACCATTAATCAATTTTGTAGAGTCTCCAGTACCAGTTTTATTTCATCCAGAAAAAACAACAACAAATGGTGAATCAGGTCTACTTAAATTCAAGTTAGTAATAGTTTTGATAATATGAATTATTTATATAAAAAATAGTCTCTAAGACTAAAAAAAATGATCATGACAAGCAGTAGACTTGTAAATGCTGAAATGATGAGAATGAGAATTCCAAATATGGTAGATAGTTCCAAAATTTGAAGATGTTGGGTATTGCCAATGATGTCACAATTCAAGTGCTATGATATAAATATTATGGGGTAATAGGTCAAAAATTCTGTACTGGATAAATTTAATTCATTTGACTGAGGACACAAAATATGCTCTTTGTGATTAGTGACGTCATCAAATACTTAGTTTTTATGGAATTACAGGAACCACAAACATTTGATTGAAAATTGGAATGGTGCAAATCTATGCAATCAGTGTCCCCGATACACATGAAAATTAAGAAAACTTCTTTACAATCTCTTTAATTTTACATGTCTGTCTTTATTATTCGCAGAGAGGAAACAAATGTAAAAATGTGAAACGATTCATTTAATGTATTTGTATTTGATATTGTGTTCTATGTATTGTATTTTCAGTACTGTACCTTTTGAACTGGATCATTCAATACAACCAGTAAGTATAGTTAATAGTCAAATTCTAGGCATAAAAATGGTTTCAAATGTAGTTTAAGATTTCTTATGTCAAAACTTGAGATAGAGAAATTTACGTACTGATAATGCAATATGTCAAAAAATAAGTTAGATTAGATGATGAACTTATTTTGATAAAAATAGTATGATTTATATGTAGTATATATTTTAGATTGCAGTTCAGTGTAAACGGCCTTCATATTTTGAAATCAATATTGTGAGTTATATTTTTATTTACTACTATTTATATTATATAAAGTAACTGCTAGCTGATTCAGTAGAATTTTAGTAATTGGATCATGTTCCAGGATTTGATTTTCAATTTGTTGAGAGTGCTATTCCAGTCTTCTGTTGCTGATTGCAGAGTTGGAAAAGCTTTAAACAATAATATTTCTCAACCTTTTAGATGCAAGGATATGAAATAATAAATATAAAAGCTGGTTGACAGGTAACTGGTAGTAGGAGTAGATATGAAATGAATGGAGTTTTACGTCCTATTTTTCTGCACCATGTGGGCTTATGAAGATGGGCAACGCCATGCAGGGTGCGATGAGGGAAATTTTGCCAGGACAGCTGCATTAGCCTGCTCATTTTTTATTTCCAAATGTCTTTAATGTGCACAGCCTGTAGCATACTGTTTATTGTTCCACCCGAACGACTAGACGCTTTTTCCATGACAGCCCATCTTACCTGCATCACTGACAGGGAGAAACCGGTTGAAAAATCAGAAGGTATTATCTCGACCTTTGCCGGAATTGAACCCTGGACCTTCAGGTTAACGAGTAACGTCTAACTCACTGAGCCACTGTGGCTCCCTTGTAGTAAGAGTAGTTAATGTTAATAGATAAATTTTGAGCATTTGGAAGGCTTAATTTTCACTTCAAGAGGACAAAAAATACAGCCTCAAACATGTCACTGCTGCTATTGTCAGGTACACAGGAGAAAATGTATTTTGATATGCAATTTGATAATCAAAATATATAATTCATAGCATTATGTTGATTATTTTAACCAGCCCTACCTATCAAGGAGAAATGTAATATAATAATTATTGTGGAATATTATGTTTATATTAATCTAGACTACTTTAGAGAGTTCCTGGTATACTGATATCTTCTGGTGCTTCTTTCTTCCTTGTACATTTTATAAAATACAGTAAGTTTATTTTATATATTTTGAGTAGTATGACTTATCATTATCTATCTTGTGATCATACAAGGGTATATTGTGGGTGACTGCTTCTCAAAGATAAGTACCATCAGGTGTGTGGAAAAAACTAAGTCTAGTGTGCTTCACGCAATACATGCCAATCTGCCACTATTACACAGGTCAACATCATGAGATACAATCAGACCAATTTATGCCTAACCAAACAAATCAACCAAGATGCAAGAAACAGATTTGTAATATTTGTCCAGAAGTTTGCAATATAACGGCCATAAAATTTGAAAGTTTGAAGTCTTGTGTGAAGTAACCCTGCTTAAGCAATTTCAAAGTCAAAACTTGATCTCTTGTTGTGAAACGTACATGCCATAGAACTGGTGACTGAGATATGTTACTGTATATGAATGGAAAATTGATAATAGGAAAATCAAGTCATCACGTTTGTCATGAAGTCGACACAAAGATCATGATTTTTGACAAATTCAAGTAGCAAATCCAAGTAGGAAGCTTTAGTCTTAGAGTCATTATATTTGGTCATTTTCACTTTTTGGTACCGCTTGGAACAGTGCCCCTTATTCCTAGATTAATGGTAAATAACTCACATTCATATTTCCAAACTTCTCCTTTTGATGATGTTGGAGATGTTTTCCAAACTTTCAAAAGTTTCACTAATAATGAATTACGGGGTAGCAGAACACTGAAAAAAAAGACAGCTAGGGTTTTGATACCCTACAAATATTGATTTTACAAATAGTGACATAAGAACACAACTTATCAGCTGGGCGATAGATATCTTTATATGTGACACATCAATGCCTATACATGTTATCATTGCCTAATTAATTAATCCCTCAAATGGTAATTTGATCTATTTTCATCCGATGTGTATTTTAAGCCCACATGACACACTTTTTATAACATTTCACTTATATAATAAATTTAACGGTAGCCCTACTTTTACTAAAAAGCAAAATTTTGATTATACATTGAATGCCCAGTCTTACCATTGATAGACAAAATTATTTTCTCTTCAGTATTTTACCAGTGGTACAGAAAAAGGAAGATGAATCTTGTGAAGAATTGAGTGAAAGAGTGAGAAGTATGATAGCTGATACTATAAATATTACTACCACAGATTATACATATTCTGATAAAATAGACTATATTAAACAGTTACATAGAACATATAGTCATACATCTAATACAAATAATACATCCCATAATAGTAAGTATTTCATATATATATATATATATGTTAGTATCCTTTTAATAGTGAAAATATTTTATTGTAAGTAAGTATCCATATAGAGTCATTTTCATCCTGTCAAGCTATTACTACCTTTGGCTTGCTTATACCTTGACTCCAATAGCCGCCTTTCTTGTATCACTGAAGTTTGTTAATGCAGTGATCTGATTGGATTGTATGCTAGCCAATCAGAGGCCTTGATTAAAAGTCTTTAAACACTAATGAGTATATTCTTATTGTCGATTGCTCTGATTTGCTTATTGTATTAGCTGACGTACTATCCAATCAAATCACTGCATTCTGTGATACAAGAATGGCGGCTATTGGAGTCAAGGTATCACCAGATGGTCGTAATAGCTTGACATTGTGAAGATGTATAGGAGTAGATCTACTTCAAAAAAGAGAAAAGTACAACTAGTTGCAAATATGTTACACGTTTCTATCAGTGATTCAAAAATTTGACTTGATAGAAGTAAGAATAGAGGAATCAGTTGGGACAATATTAGGTTACCTATCCCAGTAATATTAAGAAATGAAAAATATATTTTGTTTCAATTCCACTGTCATAGCAATTTTCAACGCCCACAGCAGTCCTTTGGTTTACAATTGCCTTGTGCTTATTTTACAGACTTTTTTGATTTTATTTTGAGGGTCAATGTCATTATGAAGATGATCCCTACTGGTTTCATGATGATCTGATAATTTTCCAACTAAGCGTATTCACCGTATTAGCTATATAATGTAACTTTTGCTCACTCTTCAGGCAACAATTCTTTATGGATTCTTTTGATTTTTTATGTGCCAACATGTAGTATGGAAGCATATTGTCGTCCTTCCGACCATGATGCAATACAATAAAGTTGCTTAAAATTCTCTATAGACTATAAACTGGAACCAAATGTGAATGGACATTTGTATTTGCAATCTAATCTGCCAGTGGGCGTATGTCACCTTGCTTCTCAAGACTATTTTTATCTCATTGCAAACTTAACTATGTCATTAGTTTGTAGAAATGCATTGAAAAACTGCATTTCATAAATTGCATTTTAGATAGACCTAATGATGTGCAAACATCCAGTAAACCAGTCAGCAGCAATTCACCTGTGCCTCTATCTTCTAATCCTGCTATTAATAATATGGTGCAACAAGTTAAAACAGTTATGCCACATGTTCCTGTACAAGTCATTTTAAAAGATTTAGGTGATTTTCTTTACGAGATTTTCTACTGATTTCTAGCATTTTATCCTTGAACATATATATTAAAGAACTGGCTTACAACTGCTTGAATTTGGCAACATTCCCTTGCTCAATGTTGAGCTGTCTATATTTTGTATGGCACAAATAAGAACAGCTGTCTATTTTATTTTGGTGTATATTGCAAGGAACAGCCTAATTCTTTTTTAGTAGGTTGGAAAACTTGTTATCAAATTAACAATATATAGTCCTAAATATAGAGAAATGTGTCCATTACCTTATCTGAAAGTTGTAGAAATATATAGCCCTTTATGGTTTTAGAATGTCTAAAATTTTCAAAGGTTTACTTTTTGGTTGGTAAAAGCTAGTTCCTCAGATGTGATATATTGGGATGGATATCGGAACTTTGTTTAGGGCCAGATATAAAATTATGATTCTCAAACTTCTGGTATCTATACAAAGATGAACCATTAATGAGTCGGATCAAAATATTGCCAAATATTCTAAGATGTCCCTATGCCCTGCATGGTAATACAATACTGTCGAGGTAGGCTGAACATACAGAAAATTCTCAAATACAAGCAACTACAAAATTGGTCGAAGTAACTTTCATGAAAAGCGCCACTTTTGATATCCCATCCAAATATCACGTTGGAGTAATGATAGCTTTATATTCATGCAGATTTTTCAAATTTAGTATCTTATATTTGACAGAGAAAACTAAAGATGTAGATAGAACTCTGACTAATATATTAGATGGTATTGTACAGTTTACACCTGAAGAACCAGAAAGTCAGACAACACCAACAACTAATAATACTAAACAACAAACACCTTGTGTAAGTTTCTATATATATAATACTCACAAATGATATGATTTGTAGTGTAAAACTTGGACCTCTGGTACTATTGTAGCAGCTGTAGAAAGCACAACAGAATATGCTTACTACCGGTAATTGGGTTTACTTAATGCTTGTTTGAGACTGGGTCCATCAACTCATTATCCACTAATTGTAAACCATTATGTTGATGATTGCTCGAAGGCAAGATTGTTATAAAGGTTATTCTTCAACTGAAATTCTACAAGATAACGAGTTCATGAAAAAGGATCTCGTTTCAGATCACTTTAACTGAAATAAGATTACAAATTTTGATTTCGTTGTGTTATTATTTTTCGTCAGTCTTCATTGTAATCTAAAATGATTTATACCAAGGCTGTGTTTCATTGACATTTATTTCAAGCAATCACAGCGCATCATGCGTGTCAAAATATCAACTATGAATGTTGGGTTTGCGAAACCCCAAAGTAGTGAGATTATGAGATTTTCGATACCAGCTTGCAAAAGTGATTCTGATTGGCTGAGGGTAAAGCGTAATTGTCTGCTATAAAAAACTTGAAAGGTCACCAGTACGTGACCTTGGTATATCTCGTTACAATTACTATGGATACCAATGAAAAATAGTATCAAAACATCTAATGCTAGTCTAGACTATGTTATTGAAGTCAGAATCCCTTTCATAGTCATTGACAAATTTTTCAATTCAATTAATAACTTTTAGGATTGTAAAAATATTCTAAGAAAGCCTCAACTGAATAATAAGTATAATAATTTTACTCTGAAATGATAAAAATTGGTTTTTCTATTTTCTATTACAGATAATTATATACTTCTGGAAACCTTTTATCTTTTGTAACAGCTAAGCATTGTTTAGAAAATACTTTTCTGCTTTCAGCCTTCCACTCAAAAATTTAAATCTGATTCGTTTGGTAGAACTACACGAGATCGTCATATGTCTTTTGAAGAGAGAAAGAAAGCTATGATTGAAGCAGCAAGACAAAAATATAAAGAAAAACATAATTTATTATGAACATTATTGTATGGTATTAACTATTATGAAATATGAGCCATTAAAAATCCTGAATAGCAATAATTATATTTATCAGGATCATGTAATGTAAAGTAAATTGAGAGGAGATGTGAAATGTAGACTGGAAGATATTCTTGCCTTTGCATTAACAGTAATCCCAGACTTTCTTTATTTACAGGAATTCCTTTATTTTTCTGGCCAATGGCATGTTTTTTTTAAAAACACCAAAAATTTGGTTTAAAGGGACAGGTGCTCCATTTTTTTTAATCAATCATACTTAAAGCTGGGAAAATTGCAATTTTAAGCTGAGCCAATCAGTAATGGTGTTCACAGCTCACCATCTAGATTTGAGCTTTCAAATCCATATGTGTACAGAATTATCTGCCATTGAATGTTAAAATGACTTATATAGAAATAGTGAGTAAAATTCCTAGTTTGAAGTATTTTTGAATGAATTATGCAATTTTCATACATTTCTAGTACTTCTGAAGACTACTTAAATATAATCAACTGCCCAAAATGGCGCATCTGTCCCTTTAAGAGATGATATTTTTTTATATTATAGATGACTTACAAAGCATCTTAAAATGGTAAAATCTGTACTGTACCCCACAGGAGAGCCATTGGCCCCTTTGACCCTCAGCAGATCTTTTCTATTTCCTCTATTTTTTTGTTGCATTCTGGGATCCCTTCTTTAAACTCTTTCATTCAAATAAACAGTCAGAAACCATGAAGTCATTGATGACTTAATGAAAGTGGAACTGTTCTCATGTTTCTAACGATCAACATTTATTGCTTGCATATATTAGCATGACTTTTTCCTAACTTAGCTGTTTGTTATATCAGTTTATGGCCAAGTTGTTACATGAAAGATCCCCCCGGGCCCTCTCCCTCCGACAGACCTAGCAAATTTCCCTCATTTTACACTGCATGGCCTTCCTGGTTCTTATTAGCCCAATTAATAGCATAACAGTAGGACATAAATCATTATTTTTATTTGTTCATCTGTTGCTAGTACATATTATTCATGATAAAAAAAGATTATTCAAGTTATAATCTCAAGTCAGAAAGGGGTGTGTGTTATAAAACATGTTGATAAGCTGTTATATACTAGCTCTTATACTATTATAAATAATGTATTATTACTGGTTAATTAAAACAAAGTTATTTTCATAAACGTTTTTAATACTTGGTACTCTCTATTACAAAGTGGCACTATGTGCTTCAAAAGGTAAAGTATGATTTTGACCAATATGAAGTATCAGGTGTTGTGCACAAAACAGACCATGCTTATTCTTTTCAAAGCACCTGATGGTACTTCTCATTGGTGGAGTCCACTACTTTACAACTTTTACTCCCAATTTTGGCATGATTGGGAAAAAAATGTTTTTGACAGTATTGTCTTGCTTGTACGGATTTTTTGTATGACCTGACAAGAAACACAATAACTCAACCATATCACAATTGGGCTGATAGTATTGTATGAGATTTGGTCTTTTGTGCACACAAGAATAAACTTTAAAGGGGCATTCTGCTTTTTTTGTAAACATTTTCATTATCAAAAACATCGTAAATTATAACTGAAAGTATTTCTAAAGTATGCTATTTATATCTATGTATCTAGTTTATCAAAGTGAATTTGTTTTAAAAGGTTTGATTAAAAACGGAGTACTTATATTTTTAACTAGTGTTTGGCTTTATAATGGCTTGTTATATTTTGTTAAAATCTTCAGAAAACGGAGTAGACATATTTCTCTACAATTAGGCGTGGTTTTTTTTAGTTAAAACTTTCAGATATGTTATGGGATACATTTCTTAAGATTTTGGTTTATAGTTTTCACAAATAGTTTTCACAAATTTTACGACCTACAAAAAAAGCGGATTGTCCCTTTAATCTACCAAAAATATGGCAGAAGGATGAATAGAATTGAGGTACCAGTCTGGTGTGAGATTATAGATACAATAGAAATTGTTCACTATCACACAATGATACCCTAGCAAAAGTTAAACTTCTCTAGCAAGAGATATTGCCTTGGTTCTCTTAATTGCTTACGGTTCTTAAACACCAGAAAAGGCACCAATATTGATAAATAGAAATGAAACTAGATGAAATAATTTATTATTACCAATGGATAAACCAAACCTATCCATAAAATATGAGTGGATTTTTAGATTGCGAACTCTCTACAGGCACACCATTTGGATGAAACATGGTGAAATAGTGTAACTCTTCAATGTTCAGGGTTCAATTTTTCGTTTTCCATTCCATGGAACATTTCATGCTGGTAATGGTTGGCTGCCAAATGTATTATGTATGCCAGAGGGTATCTTTAACATGGCAAGTATGTTAGTATGATCAGACATTTCTTGTAACACCGTATCAAGCTCACTCTTTTGAGATATCTTCCATGTATGCTTATGCTTTTCTCAGATGTCTCAAAACATTTCTATCAGCTACATAGTTCATCAAATTTATGTTTGACAAGTAAAAAGAAGGGATTATTTTTGTCTTTTGATGAATTGTTAATTTCATCTTGTGTTATTGTAAGAGTTATTCTGCCCTCTCTCAATTCATGT